CTTTTTTGCCTCAGACTTTCCCTCTGGTCTCAGGACCCTGGAATTCGTGAAGGCTGATCTTACCAGTAAAGACTGAGCTGAAGAAGGTAGCATTCAGTACCTCTGCCTTTTCAGGCTCTAGGGCCCCTGTTCCATTTAGTTGTGAAACCACACTTTTTGCTGTTTATGAGCTTGTCACAGCCTGTCTTGTCTCCTTTCATGACCCTTACAAATTCAGTTCCAGATGGTTTGCCTTTCTGATCCCAGCTGTGTATGCTCGGACATTTCCATCTCATAGTCATTACAGTCAGGGCTTCCCTGACTCTGTCATCTTCAACCAGTCCTTGTTTGTAAGCAATGAGGTCTAGTAGGATGTCTTTCTCTCTCAGCTCCTGGATCACCTCATGAGAAAACTGCAATTCATGTACTTGAGAAACCTCTTGTATTGCTCGTGCCCTGCTGTGTTGTTGCTCTAGCAGATATCGGGAGTGCTTAAGTCTCACATTAGAATCATAGCCTCCAAACTGTGCCAGTTATCTGAAGAAGGCCTCATCTGCTATTCTGGAATAGGCAGTCTATGGCAGACACCTACTGCAATGTCACCCATGTTGATCTGCCTGCCAGTCCTGAAGCTTTCACCTGGCTTATTGCTGTGCCCAGGCAGAGCTGCCTGCACTCCAAGTGCCCACTTAAATAAAGGGCTATCCTGTGCCTTACTGCCGCCCCCTCTCCTTTCTATGGAGCCTGCATCCACCCATAGCAACACTCTAGTCGTGCGACTTATCCTACCATGATTCCAATGAGATCATAGCTCTGTAACTGCACACAGAACTCTAATTCCTCCTGTTTGTGCCTTCTGTTCACATCACCCCAGACCTATGCTTGCCAACCTCACTTATCACTTCCTTGCTTGATTGTTGATCATTCTCTCTCTTTTCTGTTGCTTCTAGCTTATAGCTTTTCTTGCCAGGTTGGCAAGCCTCTTGGCAAAGATACTCTTGTCACCTTTGAACAAGTGGATCCTATCTCTTCCAAACAGTCATTGATCCTCAAAGAAGTATCCTTTTGTCAGAGAAACCACAACTATTGCTGACACCAACTGTACCATTGTTGATTCTCGGGATCTGTCCAGTCCTCCCAGGCTTTGCTAACAGCATCAAGGAGGCACTATCTGGGTTTCTGTGGCATTTACCATTGCCTCCAAAGCGGGCTAGTCAGGCTTGATGGTTTCTATGTCTCCTTTGGCACTGTCATGGGTGCCCACATCAAAGACTTGCTGTGGAAAGGCAGCCTTGGCTGCCTCTCCACAATGTCCCAAATATAAGCTCCTGATACACAGCAAACCTCCATGGATGGCTGTACAGGTCAGGAAGTGGGGGCCTCTATCCCTTACAGCAGAGAAGCTCCTGTTACCATCACGTGCTGGCCCTCCAGGTGCTCCTGTGTGGCTGGGGCTCAGCTGATATAGATGCTCTAGCTGACAGTGCTCCCAGCTCCTTGCCAACTACAAGGGTAGTGAATCTGTCCCAAAGCTGCAGGTTTTGCAGTGGTGCAGGAGCCTTCGCCCTGCTGCCAGAAGTAAACTTCTCCCAACCTTTGCTGTCGAAGTTTCCATCTTCCAAACTGATAGGCACAGGTTCTGCATGTTTCCCCATTGCATTTGGAGGTTTGGGGTCTTGAAATTACAGAGTTTCAGAGAAGATAGGGTCAGTCTCTTATGCTGCCCAGTCTGCTGACCTCCCACAGATTCTTCACTTGGTGAAGCTCTTCAATAGGAGCACACCTCTTGCAGCCTAGAACATTTGCCCCTGCTTCAGCAAGATGCCGTAGCATTCCCTGCAGCTGGAGACCTGCAGAGACCTCATCCTCCTCCTGTAGCTCTGTTGGGATCAAAGCTGCTGATGCTGCGGGACGTTTGCCCCAGCGGGGCTGCTGGGGACGGTGCCACCCCATTGCTGCTGTGACCGACGGTGTGTGCTGGTCTGAGCAGGGCTGCTGGTGCCTTCCACGTGCTGTTCAGCCTGAGCTGCCGCACAAGCTGCTACATCTGGTTGCTGTCTGATAGCTACGCTCTTGTAATTCTTTTAAGTCCTTTTGGGTACAATCTCCTCCTTTCCGTTTCTAACACCAGAAGATGCACATGTCTTTTATGCTATGTGAGCATCAGAGCAAACTGCAGACTTGCAGATTGCCTTTCTGGTTCCATGACATAATCATTTGTTACATTATTTCTAAAATTGCAGGAAGAGATGATTTTACGAGAGAATTAACATACTGCTTCTTCTGAAGAGTGATCTATATGCAAAGCTACTCTTTATATAAGGTTATATTTCCACCTTTGATTCAGAAAGGGCCCTGGTACAGAACAGATATGTCGTTTGCAGCAGTGTTTGCCTGGTTGGTGTAACTGAGCTGGAATTCCCTGGTTAGCCATTCATAGCATGCAGAAGAGCTTATTTTAAGCACTTGATGTTTTCTACCACTCTTAAGAGTATAGTCGCTGCCATCTTAACCTAAACTGTGGCTTAGTAGTTGAAATTCTTCCCCCAAACCTTTTGAAAAAGCTAGATCATTTTGGACCTGAATAGCTGTCTTTTGCTTTCATGGGTTCTGAAGATAACCAAGAACCCTAGACTTTATAGATGGCTAGTAAGCACCAGAAAGTAAAAATGTACAAGTTAGACCCACTTCCACTTTCTTATTTTTTATATGATTCTTGCATTTTAGCTTCCAAGCATGGCTATAGATTTCTTGTCAGCAGTTCTGACTCGTCAGTTCTTTATTTTTTGTTTTTGAACATTCTGCAATCAAGGGATAGCTGAAAGACCTGACTATTTTTTTTTCTTTTTTCTTCTTTCTTCTTTTTTTTTTTAAATCTAGTTAGTGTGATATTATTTGGAATGGTCAGTTAAATATCCCTGGAGTCTGAAGTCTGACAGCTATGTCTCCAGCTAGTAGTAAAAATTCTAAGTAATGGCTGATTCGTATTTTCATAAAGGCACAATATCCTTTGCCATGGTGGTCTTTGGATGTGCTTTTTAAATTGTCTGTATACTTATTTCTGCCTTCCCCAGACCACTTGCATATTAAGGAAACTGTTATAAACTGCTTTGCTTAGGCTTGAAGAAACCTGTGGTTATTCTCTGAAGCTGTCTGAATCAGTATGAGGGTTTTTGGGAGGGTACGTGGCCAAGGAAGCACATCTGCTTGGAGAGTGGCTCAGTACATCAAACACTGCGTGCAAACCGTCCTGGCTGGAGGTCTGAGCAGCATAAGGCATCTGCTCTGGAAAGCTTCAATGTTGCAGCCTCTTCTGTGTTTTTGATTATAGACAAGACTGGACCCTTGTACAATATTACTTTTCCTGGACAACAAAACCTGCAATTTGATCAGCTAAGATATGCACAGGCAAAACGAGAGAGAGGAGGAGAGGGAGATATGATCTGTGACAGTAGATTTTTAGCTGAATGCTCCATGCAGTCGTTAGTAACTCCTGTAGAAAAACTTGCAGCTGCAGGCACAAAAGGATTGAGAGAGACCTGCATTTGCAGCACCTGCTTGTGCAATCGCTAGCCATCAGGATGGCTGTGAATTTCTCTTAGGCTGAGAACTGCTGGAAGGAATGATGCCTCATTATCTGTGGAAGTCAAGCTCTTACTTCATCATGCCTTTCACACTTGCTTGTGGAGATCTAAGAAAGAATAAGGAACTCCCAGGAGCTTGAACTTGAGCTGCTTGTCTAGCAGCTGTGCTGTGAGGAGGATCATTCAGGTACTGTTTGCTGCTCCTGATTTCTCAGGAGCTGACTCTTCTCTGCTGCTGCCTGACCTTGTCAGCGTCTGCAGCGGGGGAACCTTGCGGGTCGACCTCCTTGGCTTAGGCGTAAGGCAAAGCCTGCCAGGGCAGAGCTCCTATTGCAGTGGTGTTGTAGCTGCCAGAACTGTAACTTTGTCAGTTAAAAAAATGCCTTGAAATGTCTGGAAGGAGGGGACTGCTGCAGCTTGCTTTGGCTGTGCAAAGCAGTGCTTTAGAGTATGACCTGTTTTTCTGTGCAGAATTCTTTGAATCCTTTTGTATTGTCTGGAATAGCATATGTGTATCTGCCTTAAGAAGCCTAGGAATGTTTCAGAGCCTTCTTCTCCCTCCAAGAATACTTCAAAACAGGGAGTAGGAGTCTCTGTCACTTTGGAGTGACAGAGCTGTTACATGCCAATGGGGCAGGCAGTTTGTGCAAGACTCCCTCTCCTGTAGGAAAATTAGGGGTGCTTATCTTTAAAGCTCTGAAAGTTAAGTTTAAAAAATATTGTTAATTCTATCAAATGTTGCTACTTTTTATATCTAAATGATTAGTATCTTGTTATGTACTTTGACGTGCATGTCAATTTGTTTACTTTGGCTACAGCAGTCTCCTAGAGTTCATGCCAGGCAACTGCCATGGAATCATCCCTTTAAAGTCCCTTTTGGTTTGAGGGTTTTAGCAAAATACCTCTGTCTACTGTAGGAGAACAGAATCACTGGGACGTCCTTATCATAATGATTAATGGCACAAAGTTGCCCAAGGTAGCAGATGAATGAAAAGCTTATGATCCATGGTTTGTCTGCTGGTAAATGAGATTTTGGGGATTTGGTGTTGTTGTTGAAGCCATAGAAGTGTTGTTATGGGTATCATGCTGGATGTTGTGTGGCAAATTTTATTTATTTGTTTTGCCATCTGACTGATTCTGGTTCATTCTGAGACTGGGCTGAGCTTCACTTTAAGTCATTAACAGAAAAGTTTCTAAGACTTTTGTATCAGTCACCTGGCAGGCAATATTTCTCTGCATGGGCTGAGAAATGGCTGGGAACACATACATGCTAGTCTGGTCTGTAAAGTGCTACCAGAAGTGTTTTCAGTAGCGGAGCATATATGAGACGGTTCTTTGAGTTGTTCTTTGTTCAAAGAAACAGGTACCTTCAACTCAAGCTGAGCATGTATGTGTATAAGCACTGCAAGCAGGACATGGTCACATGCGTGTAAGGCCAGCAAAGGGCAGGGAGGTGGGAATAGGCTAGAGCACATGGCCTGTGGGGAGAAGCTGGGATCTGAGTTTGTCCAATGTTAGGAACAGAATATTGTCTTCAGCCGCCTGCATGGGGAGTTACGGAGCAGACAGAAACAGGCTTTTCTCAAAGGTGTGTAATGGTAGGATGAGAAGCATCAGACAAATTGCAGCACAGGAAATGCCAATTAGCTAGAAGGATAAAAACTTCCACCATGAGTTCAGCCAAAGATTGGAACAGCAGCCGAGAGAAACTTTAAACTCTCCATTCTTGGAGACTTGGAGGGTTGGGAAGGAGACCTGCAGAGGTCTTTCCAGCCTGATCATGCTGCGATGCTCTATTTTGGAAGAGGGAGATATTTGCAATATAGGCCTTCTCTTTAACAGCAGTAACAGTTTCACTGTTCTAGTTAAATACAAGTGGGCTGTATTTCGGTTGTTTCACCTGAGAAGACAAAGTGGAGCAAAATCAACCTACTTGGCAGCCTTGTTATGTTGGAAGTAATGTTGTTTTTAGCAGTTCATATTCTCAGTATAGAACAATAGTTCAGGCATTCTCAATAGAATTTTAGCCAATCAATAGTTTTGTCCTGTTCACAGCTGCTTTCCTTGTTTGAAAGACCTGTTCCATATACCCCGCAGTTCTTTCACATAAAGTCACATTGTCCTGTTTAAGGGCTGCTGTGCCTGAGAAAAGCAAAGACAAGTGCTTGCAGAAGTGGTGACCAGTGCTAGGTTGCTCTCCTGTGTTTAAGACCATTTTGCATGCCATATTGCTTATCATAGGGCAAGCTAAGCTCAATGTTGTGTGCACAGCTGGTTTTCATAAGGCTAGTTCATGGAACACTGGGGTCTGTGCTGGAATAGTAAGGGAAGAACAAGCGAGTGAGAAATATCTGGGCAGCAACCTGTGGAAGAAAGTCATTTCCTTTTCTTTAGTGCTTGGTACAGTAATTGGTCCTCATTAGCTGAATAACAGACTCAACACTGACATTTACTGGAACTAAACAGCTGTTTCTCCTTTCTCTTGTTATATAGAAGAAGTTTTCAAAGAGAAAGGGAAGAACAGAGAAATTATGTCCTGCAACTTGCGCCCCAGTGGCTTGGCATCTCTGGTATTTGTGATGTGAATACGTAGGTGTGCTGACCAGAGAGCCTCAAAATGTTCCACCTACATTGGGGTGGGAAAGCCAAGTGAAATAAACCCTGCAAAGATGTTTGGACCTTTCCCAGAGCTGGCTACTGTGCTATCCATCCTGCATCTGGCACTGTTGAGTTTAGAGTGGGGAATACTGCCACCCCATGCTCCTCTACTGTCATTTCTTTCCTGAGACTGTCTCCAATGTGGGATTGTTTATCCTTGTTCTTCCACTAACCCTACTCTTCTGTAGTTGCCTGCAGTGGAGATGTAATACTAACACCTTCCATGCCTTTCCAGGGTCACAGTGCACCGGGCTGTTTAGCACCACTGTGCTGGGAGGCTCCTCCAGTGCCCCCAACCTCCAGGACTACGCACGCAGCCATGGCAAAAAGTTTGCCAGCAGCCTGACGTACAAAGACGGTATGTGTGTTCTGTCTGCAGCACATGGTTCATCTGGGGGCTTTGCCTCTGGATCATACTCAGTCAAAGTCTTAGACTGCTAAGAGGAGTAGCATATTTTAATGTGTATTCATCAGATTATGGTAATGCATTTTTATCATATCCCAAGAAATCATGATCCTTTTGCATCAGTCAGATCCTTGCCAGGTTAAGACAGGAGCTGACACTGCATGAAGAGTTTTATTCTGTTGTGTGGTATTGCTTGTATCTGATTTTGCTCAGATATTCCAATACAACTTGCTATTGTGCGCTAGGAATCATTATTATAGATATTCCATAGGTTTGTCCTGATACAGAAATCCAGCACATCTTGCTTATCTTGGTGATTTGTGCTGAACTAAGCTTTTGTGGAGACAGTAATTCCCAACCCTGCAGGAGATGGGGCTGTGCTGTTGGCAGAGTGATGTGCTTGGCAGGGGTTATATAGGTACTAGAACCAGGCTGGGCAATTCTGTAGAAGAGTGTGGCGTAGCAGTCAGAAAGCAAGTACTATGCCTGGTATTTTTGATCTAAGTGGGATGCTTGGAGGAAATATAGCAAAAGGACTGTAATGTCTACTTGATGTGGCTAGTTCTGCAGAAACTACCGTAAAATTCATCCAGTCTAGTAAAGTATACTTGGGTCATTGGTATCAGTGTTGCCCCATATTCATTAGTGAAGGGGGTAGTACCAGCTGAGGACTAGTGTGGTAGGCATCGACAAGCAGAGTCTATCCTATCCACAGGGAAGTTGGAGCACCGAGCGTAGAGAAGGCTGAGGTGTTCTAAAGGAACCGCGGGGCTGTAATGCACCAGAGCAAGTGTTCCTGTTATCCTAGAGAGAAAGGCCCTATAAGGTATTGATTAAGATACCATTTTCTGGAGTTAGCACAAGAAAGAAAAAAGAATATATAATCTTATGTCCCTTCAGATGCTGGGAACCATGAGCTGTGCAGCACTGGATGGACCTCCAGTCAGAGCATGGCATGTTGCCCAGGCTCCATCTGTGGAGAGGCTTGTCTGACGCTGCACAGTTCTGCTTGCCAGCATTTGATGGGGTTTAAGATGATCTCTTTTCTCCTTATGTTAGCTCCTTCAATAAATGGTATGTAAATACCTTGTTGGAGCCTTAGTGCCTATATGTCTATGTTCATAAGCAGCACCTGCATTAATACGTTTCATGGCGGGAGGTGAATAGAGCAGTAGTCTGGGACCTTTGAGGGAAATGGAGCTGGTTCCTTGGGCTTTCTTTCCGGTTTTGAGGCCAGAAAAATGGTCTAAAAACAGCATGAAAAGATGCTATTCAGTTCTCAGACCAGGTGAGACTTCATTAAATGCCTTTCTATTGAGACCATTTTCTTCACTCTGTAAGAAACAATTGTATTGCTTGTCACATCCTCAGGGAGGTTTCTAGCATGTAACAGGCTGTGAGTGGCAGACATGAACTGGAGGGATTTAAAACTGCTGTATCAGTTCTGCCCTGCTCAGGACAGGAAGCGCTGGCTACTTACAGGTCCCAGAATCAGCTCATGGTGTTTGGAATAAGGTAGGATCTGTGAATACCAGGGGAGGTGCTTGAAAGACTAGTTAAGGCTGTGGCTGCTTCTCTTCTGCAGTTCTGCAACCAGTCTGACTCCAAAGCAGCACTAATTCTCAAGGAAAACTGTCAGAGATGGCTAGCGGGGTGACACTTGACTGGGAACAGAGCTGACTGCTCAGTGCTGGCGCTGTGCCACCTGTGTAGGTGCTACAGTGGGAGTCTGCCTGTAGTCAAGGCTTGGAGCAGAATCCTGCTGGTTTGGCCTAAATTCTGTGACATGATCTCTGCATGCTGTGACACAGCTTTAGCCTCAAGTCATTAAAAGATGCTTGCTTAAATATCATGCAACTTACATAGCCTGGAATTCATCTTCGTATTATACTTAGTATTCCCATGTTCCTCTGTACGGCTGCACCATGTGCTCCCGGTGCCTTGCTGCAGTCATGGCAATTGTGAGGAAGAAACTAAAGGTTTGGGAAAATGAGTAGGAGGCTGAAGAGCACTTTATTTCTGGGGAAGATAGTTTGGAATATAAAATAAGCATTTTATCCCAGTGTTCCTGCTTAAATGAGTAGCAAATGATGAGCATTAGCATTTAAGCCAAAAGTCATTAGAGTTTAAAGCAGTGATGTAGCAGACTTCACTTTCTCAGGCTGCCTCTATATCAAGGTCTTTTCTATAGCCATCAGGCCAATAGTGTTTAAAGACCCTCAGATTCTGGAGCACATTTTTGCATGAATTCTCCTGTGTGCATCACAGATTTGCTCAGTGAAGTTAAATTACCTTTATTTTTTTAAAGTCTTTTTATTTGGGTCTAGAAGAGGGCAAAGAAAACATTCACTGGTGAATTGAGTCTTAACTTAACTGATGTTAAGTTAACTTAACTGATGCTGATGTTTCTTTGAAGGTGGTTTGTCTGAAGCCAAGACCCAGTAGCTTGTCTCAGCACTGTCCAAATTTGTGCTCTGTAAAAATGCAGAGAAGATTCAGGGTAGAATGGAGGTGATTATCAGTTGACTGCAAGGTGATATCTTGGACACTGCTTGGAAGATGTGTATATATGGAAGCTTGCTGGTCTACATTTGTTGAATTTAAACAAACAGTTTTTATGACCGTTACTCTAGTAAGGGTAATTGTAGCAACTTTGAGCATTGATTTAAATGCTATACAGGCAAGTCTGGTATTTTAGTGGATGTAGCTATGGAAATTTAAAGGGAATGTGACAGTGTAAATCGATGTGTGTAGCACCTATTCTTGGTACACAGAAATAGCCATACAGCTTTGATTTACTAGGTAAAATGGATGCATGAAAATAGGAATGAGAAATAAAAACATTGTTAGTTTCTAAGTAGCAGCAGAAAGTGCAATTGGCTGGGTCCTCACACCATGTCCTGCATGCTCATAGTCTGATATAGGCCATTTTTTTCCATGATAGCTGAAGAATTCCCAGAATGGGAATAAGCTGAAGTTTTTGGCCTGTTTTTGTAGCAAATAGAGACTAATTCCTGTCTTTTAAAACTCATCTGTTTGTGCTCCATTAGATGCTTAGAGTTTGTCCTTGTGCTGTCTGTCTGGGGAATTTGGCCTGGCCTAGATCATGGCCAGGACGAGCCTGAGGAGCAGTGTGAAAAGTGTATCCCCAAGGCTCTGCCGTATCGCAGTGCGTTGAGCAGCAGGAAGGTGGAGATGTCTTCATGGTCTTAGATTTGTTCCCTAAATAGTTAGCTGATTTAGCTTTTTAATTCATAAAAAGCTGTGTTTAGCTTACATTGAGAGGATGTTCTGAGCTGCTCTTAACTGTCCTAAGCATCTTCAGATACTGTTTTGCTTTTCTTTAGGCAGAAGTGAATTCCCAAGAACTATATCCATACGGTGCTGTTGCTTGTCCTTGTGCTCTTGTGGCAGTAATTGTGGCCACGTTGCGCCCTCCACTGCTGAGCCTGGGGGCCAAGTGCTCTGCTTGGCCCCGAGTGTGGAGGGAGGGCAGGGTGTATTTGCTGTCTGTGGCTGCACGTCCGAGCCTGTTCGCAGTGTAAAGGGAGTGCGCGGGAAGGGGAGCAGGCAGAGCGCGACGGCCCCGAGACGATCAGTCAGGCGTCCAGCGACGCGGCAGCGCCCCGAGCACGTGTGGGTCAGGCAGAGGGTGAGCGGGAAGGCTGCAGCACGCGAAGGTTAGGAGAGTCCTTAGAAGCAGGCTGTTAACTGAGATGATCTGTTTTTATTTCCTCAGAGCTCTTGTCTATGCCAGCCGTAAAACGATTTTCTGTGTCGTTTGCAAAGCATCCGACTAATGGTACGTTTGCTTTCTTGATTTGACGTTCCCTCACACTTCTAACCCCATGCTCACATTCAGTTCTCCCTTTTGCACATCTCCTCCTCCTCCTTCCAGCCTCCTTTTGGTACTTTTTGTTTCTGCCTTTTTTTTTTTTTTTTTTGCATGTCTGTGTATCTGGTATCTAAACATGTTTCCCTTTCCCCTTGTCTCATTTTGACTAACTTGTTCACTTGTCCTCTGTTACTGCTCAGCGGGGCCTGTGCTCTGTGTGGGATACCTGCCAGACTGATTCTACAGAGGAATTTGTGTTCCAGGTGAAAAAGAAAGATCAATAGCTCTCATGCAGCTTTTAATTCACTGCTGACATTAAAGCTTTTTTCTCATGCCCCTTTGAGTGGGAAAGAATTCCATTGGCATCATGAGGTACAGGGCAGACATTGCTCTGTCCCAAGAGCATCGTCAGCTTAGGATCTGTTTTAGCAACTCAGATTTACAGGACTGAAAAAGGATAGGCTGAGGCTACATGTGTCTCCTGGAAGCGTGCAGTCAAGAGTGGGAGAAAAGGAAGTGTTGACAGCGTTCTCTGTACAGGCAGTTCATCAGCACAGTGCTCTTAGGAGTGCTGGTACCTTCATGGCATCGTGCCTGCACTCCTGCTTATTAGGTTGGTTCCTTGATTAGCCTAAGGATGCAGGGAGTGGTCTCACCTTCCCTCCACGTTATCTCCAGGAATGGCATCTCTCCAAAACTTTTTCAAAAGCTGCCTTGGGCCCTGTCATCTTCCTGCCTGGAAGGGGAGGCAGTGTGCATCAGCAGCGTGCTCCTGAGGGTGGTGTGACCTGCATCCCTCCCTTCACGTCAGCAGCGGAGCAGGATGTCTGACAGTGCTCACGTGCACTCCGCGGCTCTGCTTTGTGTTGCTCCCAACAGAACAGTTGAATGGAGTGTCTTTGGAGGCTGCAAAGGCAGCTGGCTCATTTGTAGCAGGTAACTAGAGGTTTGTATCATCTCTGCCTGTGCAGAAACCAACTTCCCCCAAGTGCCTGGTTTCACAATCCTACTCCTTCCCATAGCTCATGGCTCTTGCTATTGAGGCATGTTAGGACCAAAGCAGACTGCTGAAAGATTTCAAGTTAGATATTCATGTTTTATATGATAAAGGCTGCTTCTGGAATCTTGAAGCTTAGTAAATATGAAGATATTCTGTTCTGTGTGATGTGGAAGTTGAAAGATATTCAGAAAACTGTCACTAAAGACTAGAGTTTTGGGAAAGATGAAAGTGGAAGGGGCAGCTAAATGTGGTTCAGATATTTGAGTGGGATATATCTTCTGTGTTTCCTTAGTTTTGCTTTCCACAGAGTGACTGCCTGCTGTTTGCTGTGTGTGTCTGGAAGCTGTTGGAGCACGAGGTGCATTGCAGCAGGGAGCGTCATCCTGGCTTGCCAGGGAAGCTTGCACCAAGCACTATTTTTTTTTCTAAGCCACACTGTAAAGCAATGAAAGGCAACTGTACTTTTTTTTTTTTCTTTCTCCTCCAATAAATGAAACAAATATTTGTACTCACAAAGTGTTTGTCAGTGAAACTAAGATAGATACCTAGGAAGGGTGAGGCTGAAGTTAGATGTGTTTGGTCTGGGCTTGGCAGCTGCCTTTAGAATATTTAGTACCTGTGCACCATGTAAGGGTGCATGAACTATTCATATCTCTGAATCTAGATTTTGTTTCTGAAGAACTGCCTGTGCTTGGTGGGATGGGATGGGTGAACCAGAGCAGTTGTCAAGCAGAAGGTCAGACTGGGTGGTTTATGGCCAGGCCATGTGTACCTTGGGAGCGAGACATGCGACTTGAGGCCCTAAATGGGAGGGAGGAGCTGGACCTGTTAGTATCTTGTCCACCGTACAGTACAGAAGACATCGAACACCCTGCACAGAGCTGATGTGAGAGGCTGGAAAGGGCAGGTCAGTATTCCTGTGCCCACTCTGTTTTTCAGAATCCCTCTGACTATGCTCTCAGGCAAAGCCTGCTGTCCCCGGCTGCCCTTTCCCCTTCTCCAGGCCTCTAATGCCAGCTCACTTATCCTCATCCATGTGCTGAAGTGACGGGCTGCATTTGGGTGCGGGACTGTAGCAAGAGATTTCTTGTGTCGGCTGGGGGAGGGCTAGGCTGGGAGTGACTTTTTTACATAGCTGAACCTGAGCTGTCTTGGGCTTGGAATGTGTCCTTAGATTTATTTGTTTGCCAAACAATCACTTACAAACATGAAGCCTTGCTGCTTAGCTTGTGCTGGGGCAGCTCGTGGGTTGCAGCGGCGCTCGGCAGCTGCAGGGCACGGTGGGAGCCTGGGCTGCCGCCTCCGGACGCGCGTGCGCGGTGCTAGGGATGTTCCTGATCCGCACCCTGCGGGGGGCTGCGCTTCAGCATGTGGGGCAAGTCTTCTCCCCTGCCAGCAGCTGGCAGCTCTACTCCTTGCGTCTTCATATTTTTTCTATTTCCCAGCTTTACCTCCCACTCTCCTCTCACTCCTTATGGCCCACTTTCCTCCAGATGCATTTGAGCACCACCACGTTGCCCAGTTGCTGCGCCGTTTTTCCTCTGACTATGCCACGAGCCGGAACATCTGCCTGGATGCCACCCTAGCCCACCACCTGCAGCAGTGCTCCTACCACCTGCGTCTCTTCAGGAGCTGGCTGATCTCAGGGCAGGATGACTTGGAGTGTCTTTACGGTACTGCACGCTGCAGCTGCCTTGGCTCCGTGCTCTTGTAGCCAAGCAGGGACCAGTGTCTGCTTGAGAATGCAAAGTATGCTTTGCTTCTAAGAAAGGAAAGCATTTCCCTCTGCATCCCTCAAATCTGCAGGCTGTTCTTGCAGCAAGGCGTGTGGGCTGCTACATCAGGTAGTTTTGGAGCTGTAGGAAGAGGCTTTTCCACATGGAGTCAGTGTTCTGTGTGGAGCTGTAACTGCTTTTTCTGTTCTTGGCAATTGCTTGTTGCCTTCTTCCTCTAGCTAGGGCAAGCCCTTAAGCTTCTTTTGAGTGTCCTCATCTGAAATGATGAGCTCCGTCCTGTGTGATGCTCTGCTGACGTGATACTGCTTTGCAGACCTTAGCGGGGTGCTTGGTGTTTCTATAGTTATCAAGGCAGAAACCAAAGTACTTAGTAAAAGCATGGGAAGAATGAAGGTTGAGGAGGCACTGCAGCTGGTCACATGCAGGTGAACTTGCTGTGGAAACTTAGGGGAAGTGGTAGCTTGTGAGACTGTGTTATTTCCACAGAAATTTTGCTTCTGCATTGCATGGCACTTGTTTTGCCTGTTAGGACTTCTACAGTGTTTCATGTCTGCGATGAGGAAAGGTAGACAGTTGCAGTATTAGATCTGGATGTTATAAATCAAAGATCACTGTTACCGTGATATTTCTCAGCCTCTGGCACAAGAGGGGAGGTCTGGTGCATTGAGGTGCTTCTAAGACAGTAGAAAGACTTGTCTTTGTGAAGGGAAGCTGGCTAGGCCTGGCTGTTAATGTTCACCTTGCACCATGAAATTTGCTGGGTGCATGTGGCTTGCTGCTGAACTGTGTGCTGTGGTGCATGGATCCCCTTTTTCATTCAGACTTATGGGCACAGACATAAAAAGAGATTAGATTTTCGTCTGGCAAAGAAACAGTATCAAACAATTTCAGAGCTTGGATAAGAGATTTTTCCTATATATATACTGTCTTTTTTTTTTTTTTTCCTCTCTGTTGTCCATATGGCTTTTCTTAAGCAGAGAACTTGGAGATCACAACTGCTCTTTAGATATAATTAGGATAATCCTCAGTCTCCTAGCAACTAATACAAAAGTGGAGCAAAATCACTTCAAGGGGAGAGATGCTGGAGCCAGACTGACTCCTCCCAAGCCAAAGCTGAGCTTGCCCTGCTGCAGATGTCAGGCTTCTTGTGTGAGCTCAGTAGAGAGAAGACATGAGCTTTAGCACTTGAGGCACTGGCGATCCAAGTACTGCAACGTGCTGGTGGCTTGTGGAGCCCATCTTAGTGCAGCCAAGTTTTTAAGCTGTGCACAGAAGCTTTTAGTAGCTTCTCTGTGTAGAAGTCGGATCTGTGCCCTCAGTTAGTGAAGTTCATTCTTGCAGTTTTCCCAGTCTGATTGACCTTACACCCACCGTTACGTAGCATGTTTGGGATTCCTGCGGAGGATCTACTCTTAGCAGACATTTCTGCAGCTGGCATCCTGCTTACCCCCAGTGTAATAACTGTATACTTCTATCTTCTCTTCCCTGTCTTTCAATCATCCTTCTATCCACAGAAAGAAAACATGGGTTTTCTCCCAGGACTGGGGCAGGGAGTTAGAAGTATGTAGTTGGTATTTGTAGGTAGGAAGATCAGCACTGGAGCCTAGAAGGGATCTGCC